TGATTATAGTTTTCTGTGTTTTCTTACTAATTTACGCCATTTTTTGCACTAAAAATCAGGGAACTTTAAATCAAAATCAGATAGTAGAAAATTCTCTAGTCCTATGCTGTTGTGTGAAACGTGAAACGTGTCTGGAGTTGAAATGAATTTTGAAAACGTTTGATTAATGAGAATAAAGTCCCATCGATTGATCTGCTTCAAACTTCTCAAGATCCTTCCCAAAACTTCTGCTTAAAAAATTTCTGTTTTATCGTATTTCACAAACTTTCTTCAAGTGTCCCCTTCTATTCGACTAATACATTTTCACATTTCAATTGTTCTAATATGCATTCTCTGTGTTTGTGTCATTCTTCGATGATGAGGAAACATTATTTATTGAAATATAATATCATATTTTAATTTGTAATAATATTTGACACATTGATGAATTGTTCATTAACACTGTATGTATTTTGATTATATTATCATTATAACTATTGATATTATCATCACTATAAAATATATTGAATAATAAAATAATGTGTTGAATTCTGTGTTGTTGTTTTCTTGCCCCAAACACTCAAACTCTGCCACCGTATATATTGTCAAATATTTCGACATTTGCAATACAACGGTCAAAAAGTAAGCTCACGGGATGTTACTTTTAATCCAGAATAACGTTAGCAGTCATCAGCACTTTGAACAATTTCGTAAGATTCAGTTCAGTTCTAAGAGAAAGTTCAACATTTTTTTGACGCTCATGACTAAAATGCCCTCTAGATATAAAAACTTCTAGTGGATGAATATTGTGTCCCCGATAGTCGTGGAATAATAGGCTCTGGTGAGGCACTATTTGCATTTGCATCGGTTTTGTCGTACGGAATAGCATAAACAGGATGATCGTTGTCTTCGTGTTGAGAGTCTAGCGGTACATTTGAAACATGTCTACCGATTGGTACCTCGTAATCGGTGCTATCTCGATTTGACGCAGCTGGTGGATCGCTTGAATCGGTGGTTGGTTTCCGCACCAAATTCCACACCATACATATACCAAAGCAGCAACAACCACATATCAAACCAACAGTAACCAATAGAAAGACCACACTGAAAATGATTCATGAGTAATACATGCTGTTGTTGTTGGAGGACGGACATTCGTTGCCGGATACATCATTGAATTAACCTTTACTTGATCTAGAGTTGGATGTCGGAGGATATGCTTAAAGTCTGCAAAACTGAGGCTTGCTGCGTGCTTGATTTTGCCCATGAGCTCGGAATTTCTTCGCATCATCGATTGAAGAGAACTCTCCAATACGATAGCAACAACATGCTTGTTGTTTGCAAATAGTGCATAAGATGCTGTCATGTTCTCATGTGACTTTCTGCGAGTATGCCCTATAGTTGCTAAGCGATTGCTTGGTGTCGCCTGTCTGACAATCACTAAATTTGATGTTATTTGTTCAAAACAAATGAAATAAATACTTCAGAAGATCACTCCAGCGATCACTGTTCACAACAACTATTGCACTTCTGGATAACAGAACAAATCTGAAGAATTCAGTAAGCATTTCAAAGCAGGTGGAAGGCGATTGTTAATTGCGGGACTGATTTATGTTGTGGAACGGTTGCTAATTGAATCGGTTTCGCGACTCGATTCATATATCTATATTCCATATATTTGATTTACGTTGCTCATTCCTCCTTTTTAATAATTTTCTTGGTTAGGATGGATTCATGAGATCAGGCTCACTACACCTTTATTGGACACGATGGTAGAACGATCGATTAATAAACAGTTTGATTGATACGTGAGCACCTTCTGAAATATATTTGCTGACCGGGCAGTGGCCGCTGAACGATTTGGCTAGATATCCAGCTATGATAATCCAATTCGTTCTGTTTGGAATCGCTTTTTCGATTTAATAAATGAATGAATGATACGAAGCAGTAGTCTATATGGTTCAGTTCTTAAGGTTGTACTCTCGGTTCGAATAATTTCAAATTTACGCAAATCTTATGACACCATCTGACTTACACTATGTGCCACTTGATGAAATCGCAACATCGTCCAATAATACCGCAGCATTCATAACGGATAAACAGCGTTTCATCAGGACACTTCCTGAAATTAAATTTGGTTAAGTGGAATGTTGCAATTGGGAACAAAGGTGTTCGGTTCGGTGCTGGTTATCATATTACACTATCAAATGGTTTTAAGCTATCGTTTTCGCGTAATTGATGATGGACATCCTTCAAGCGATGATTGTTCGCAACTTGCTTTATCTTCATCAACTTTTTAGCAAACTCTCGAAAAAAGCATTTCTTAAAGATATTCCCTCCGTTGCTGCTCATTAATATCCTGATGTGAGAAAAATTTGAAAATTTTCTCATTGTCAGCACTTATTGTTAGTGAAACTTCCCACGAACACTTTGATCTGCATCAGGTTTTTTGATAAGTTTTTTTCTGATTAAAAGTCGCGATTTTTTAAAAATTTAAATAAGTCAAAGTCGTCAGTTTAATGAGGATAAGCAAACCAATAAAGCTTAACAGAATTCAGAAAATTCTGACTAACAAAGAGGTGAGAAATACGAAAAATGAATGAAACGAACTCACTGAGGCACACCGACTAACGGATTGAGTAAAAATGTTGGATAGCAATACGACGCACTACCCATTTGTGACAGCTTTTTGTCGTTGAGGTGGATGCTATCATAGCTGCGTAGTTATCGAAAGGCAAAAGGTGATTTCGGTATTCCTTTAATGCGCCTCTCAGCAAAATCGCTACAAACATTCTCGTAACGGTCTGTTCTTCGCACATAAACGCTAGTCAAACCTTGTTTAGAGTTAAAAACGCAATTGAATTGTGATCAGAAATGACGATGACGAATTCATGACGATAAATGTAAACAAAAAATTGTTTTGTTTGATTATTGCTAATCGAATTTTCGAATTAGTTTGCATGACATCAGTTGTTTGCGTATGATTATGATGGAATGGTATGTGGGTACACGTTAAAGATATTCTTTTCTTCCGGACTGTGAGCAGCAGCAGCATTACAGTCGAAAATGTTGTATCACTTTCGTGAACAGTAAAACGGTGAACGTATCGCACGCAATGACGACACTTTGATGATGGAATACGACTGTGGAGAATTCGTTACGCAGTATTTTTGAATAAGAGCTGGGATGGAGACCCCTGAGATCCGGGGCGAGAGCTGACCGAGGTTTCCAATGTTTCGAGAGCTATCGACCTCGGGTATTTGTGGACACCTGCGAGGTTTCGCGACCTTACTCACGACCTTACCCTTCATCCTCGCTACTTTTGATATCAGTGACCATGATGTTGATTTCGCGCCAGGGGTCAACTCGAGGTCCCCGGGGTTTAGACGTCCTCGCGAAGAGCATTCGGAGTCGCTTAAGCACTTTCAAAGCTTCACCTTATCCTCGAGGATTCCGACCGACTTCGGGAAATGCTGAGCCCATCCTTAATCTGAATTAAAATTGATCCCTGAAGCATTGTGTCAGTATGCATGTTTTAATAATTACATTATATTTTGGATGAGTGCAAAAGTGAGAGAGATTTTCAGTTCGTAAATTCTGTTGAACGTTCCAGGAACAAACGACTCGACAGAGTGAGAAAAAAACACATCATAAAGAGCGGAATGTTCTCGAGCCTTCCTGCTCTCGGCTATA